GTGCTTATATTTTCTACTCGCAATTTCGGGAATCCACTCGCATTTTGCGAGTGTGCGAGCGTTAATTTCGAACCCTGGGTAATGCTGTCAGGATTGCTGTAAAGCATATTTTACAATGCATATGTGGACGTTGCTTGTTATAGACGTGTGAACGGAGACACGGGGATTCTTCCAAACATTCTGTCAGCGATCGGAAACACACCTTTAGTGAAGATCAACAACATCAGCAAGAGTGCCGGACTGAAATGTCAACTATGTAAGTTACATATACAATATAGAGGAGCAGTACTGTTCGTTCAGCACTCATTACTCCCGTCTGATGGGTCTGAGATTCATGCACCACTCTTGTCACGCCTGCTGTGCCATTGAGCAAGGCAATTTATCCCTATTTGCTTCAGTCAATCTAAGGCGTAGAGATGGGTCCTCCGATTGTGGCATCGGGAGGTTGGTGCAAGGCCAGCAAGCCACCCTGTAAAACAACCCCCACTACAGAAATTAAAGCAACGTGGTTACTGCGGCCATATATGCTCCATAGGGGGCCATAAGGAAAGATTGTATGCGTATTTATAGATAGGAACACGTCCATTTCGTAAATCAGTCTTTATTCAATACAGATTACAAATGATGGGACTCAATCTGAAACCAATAGACAAGAGAGTTACATTGTGGTATATTATTGTCTAACTTATATGTTTAGTTTTTTTAAGAGCTCATAAACTAAAAAGAGTTATAAATTACACTTTATGTGCTTTTGAATAACATGAAGAATAAAATCTGTTATTGATTTTGCTCTCAATCACATGTGCTTTTACTGTCCAGGCTACCTTTTGTTTGCACAGTGTACCAGCAGCCTAAATAAAGCAGTACTGCTTATATTTTGTCTATCAGCATACTCACTTGCTACATATTCCATGTGTACCTCACTCTAAATTGTAAAGCTTGCATATATAAATTCTTTCAGTGGCCAAGTGTGAGTATTTCAATGCGGGAGGCAGTGTGAAAGACAGGATCGGGCTGAGGATGGTGGAAGAGGCAGAGCTGGAAGGCAAACTGAAGCCTGGCCATGTCATCATCGAGCCGACCTCTGGCAACACAGGTATTTGTCATTTTCCTGCACAGCTGTCTGGTTGTAATGTACTCAAACTTCTCTGTGTTTCGTCGCGGTGTTTGTGTTCTGTAGAAATGATTCTGACAGGTGTCAACTAGGCTGCAGAGGGTTGGCCTTGTGCCAGGTACCTGCATATCTTCATGTTCAGGTTATCTTCATTCTCAGGTGATATGTCCTGTTAGGTTTCAAGCTGCAGGGTATGAGGCTAGCAACAACTATCTGCGTGTCTACGTGATTTGTTGGGATAGGTGTGTCACTGGCTTTATCATACATGATATAGACGTCTTTATTTGAATACATTGTATTGCAACGTAACAAGCTAGTGCGGTCGACTAGCCAGTGCCACACCGATGATCATACGTGATTAGACGTCTTTATTTGAATACATATGTTGCAACGTACAAGCTATTGCGTGGGTCGACTAGCCAGTGCGCACCACCCACC